GTTATAAAAGAAATTTTGTTTGGCTTAAAGAGGATAGAAATCTCCTTAAATGACGTCATAGTTCATGCAAAAACAATACATGAATTGATAAATTTATTGCAAAAAGTATTTAAAAGGTGTAGGGAACACCCAAACAGGTATTCAACCACATTCTGTTAAAACAAAAGCAATTCAAGAGGCTTCAAGCCTGCAAATGTGGAGAGTGAGATCATTTTTAGGAGTCTGTTGCTATGTATCCAGATATTATATCCAACTGGTTGAACCCCCTTTTTGACAAGGAAAACTTCTAAGTGGATGTGAGGTGAAGAACAAGTTAAAGTATTCGAGGAGTCAAAACATGCATTGTCACAAGAACCAGTGCTAGTATTTTTTGGGTTCGGTCATCCAGCTGTTCTAGTGACAAATGCTAGTCCAGTGGCAATAGGTGCCGTTTTGTTAAAGGAGTAGACTGGTGAGCTAAAACCTATTGCATATATAAGTTGATCCTTTACACCTACCAGAAGGTGATATTCACAAACTGAACGTGAGGCATTTGCCTGTGTTTGAGCAGTTGAAAGGGTGCATAGTTTTGTTTTTGTTATTGAATTCACGCTATTTACTGATAACAAAACGTTGGTTGGTTTGCTTTCTTTAAACTGTCAAAAGATGCTCCCTCCACGAATTCAGCGGTTAGCGTCGATGTTGTATCAATATAAGTATAAGATAAAACATATTCAAGAAAAAATGAGTATTGCAGATCCTTTTTCAAGATTGCCTTTAAATGAAATTGATAAAACAAGTTCCGGTAATGTACCGGATGAGTATGTTAAAACGGTTGTTGAAAATGATATGCTAGAAAATTGCGCGTTGTCGCTATCGGAGGCGAAGGAAGAAAGTGCAAAAGATAAAATCTTAAATAAAATTATAAAGTTTGTTTATTCTGGTGAATGGTCAGTTGACCCTGACATCATATCATTCACAGTTCTTCGCGAGGTATTTTCTGTTTATGAGGGTATTTTATTGCGCCGTAGCGTCCCAACTGCTTTTCAAAGGCAAGTGTTAAAGCTTGCTCTTGAAAGCCATGTGTGTATCGTTCGGACTAAGCAGTTATTGAGGTCAAAATAGTATTGGCCAGGAATGTAGAAAGCTATTGAGTCTACAATAAAAGATTGTCCAGCGCGTGCTGCCACCAGGCCGTTGAGCAATAATACCTTTGCAGCCGGTGCAGTTCCCCAAAGGCGCTTGTTTAAAAGGAGCAGTCGATATCGTAGGGCCATTAGAAAATTGTCAATTGTCTCAGTAAACTCAAAAGAGCTAGAGGGGAGTGCACAATCTTACCACAAGAAGATGAAGTCTTATCATGATCATAAACATCGCGCTAACGCTCATGCTTTTATAGTTGATGTATTGTGTATCTTGCAAGGACTAAATCTAATCTTAATGAAAAAATTAAATCTAGATTTTATAATGTCAATACGTAGGAAGAGATACGCGTAAAATAGTTAATACACTAAGTGGGAAAAAGTATGTTAGAAATGTAAAGTTGTTGTGCGTGCATGTCCCACTATTATGGCAGAAGCATTAGTAATTGATGATATATTAGATAATTCAAAAGAACGTTCCAGGTTTGACAATTCTGGAGAAACAGAAAGTACAGTAAATAATAAAAATGAAAGTCCCAATGTTAACGAAGCACATGATCTACGAATGATACAGTTATAAGAAAGAGGTCAGGACGTATACCAAAGGCTCAAAGCCTACGAGATCAAAGGCTATATATATTATTGACTTTTTAGTTAGATAAATCTATTGATAGTAATTGTTTTAATATAAGAAAAATAAGTTAAAAACATTGCAGGAGATAACTATAAAATTCTACTTAAAAATTATTCCTAGGGAAAGATGTTTTAAATAATATGCATGGCTTGCTTTACGTAAAATATATCTTGATTAATATAATCATAGACATAAAGTAGGCACATGTAAAATAATGTTAGCTAATACTGTGATGAGAGGGAGTCAAATCAAACACTACAGCATCTAATCTTTGTTCTTTTTTGTATGGATTTAATGACCGATGAGATTTTTGCATACTGAAAACTACATTATTTCTTTTTGAAGACTGAAGCCGTTTCCATGAAGCCCAGATAACACTGTCATTTGTTGTGACTTTTTCAAACAGAATAAAGTTTGTTGCATTTTCGTCCCAAAAAAAAACTCTTTTGTTTTTCAATTAACGTCTTAGTCATTGATTGGGAGTATTTCAAAATTTTCCATTCTATCTTTTTTGCCTTTGAAGAGATATTTCAATAGTTTCAAAAAGTTCTTACCAAAGCTTCCTCCATTCCAACTACAGAAAACATGAGCACGAAAAAAAAATTATTTAGCATATACTATTAGCAAACATCAATTTCTTACTGTTGTCTGTTTTATTATGAAGAGTCAGGGCCTGTCAGGCATTGTCCATGAAAATCTTTCGGTGGTGATAAATACGACATGGTGATGTTACAAAAACAAACTTGTAGAATGTTGTTTGGAGAAAGTTCATACATCGTGCAGAATACTATTGTCAGAAATTATTTTTATCATTGATTAAAGTGACATTTTCAAACACATGTCATTTTCTAGCATGTTGTTGCTTTCCAACGATACGAACCAGAGTGAATGACTGAGGCTGACAGAATGAATAATGTATATCTTTTTATTAAGATATAAATTATGGTCTAAGTTCGTTAAAGTGTAAAATATTATTCGAGGGATATAGCCTCACTTTGTAAACTTGGTTTATTGTGATAAATCTGCACACAAAAAAATTCAACTATCTTGTACTATCACCAGAAATAGGGAAACGTTAATTACTGAAATTCCAAATATAGTGTTGCAAAGTTACATGTAGCTTTCACTGTTACTTCAAAAGATTTTTGATCGCAAAACCCTAGTCATTGTATTTTCTGCGTTATATCTGTAACTGCACCATCACTCACTGTAGCATTAGTGATCACTAACATCTCACAACTTCAACATCACCAACCATATTTTGTTGATCAAACCACGAGACATTAGCAAGAGGATTACTTCCTTCACTTATACACATGACTCATTATCACGTTCGTCCACATCAAAAAGTTGGAAAGATTGACGGATCTGGGGTATGTCAAACTAAATTAAGATAACTGTTGATTTTATGGGAAATCAAACATTTTAAAACAATATTTTTAAGGAAATGTTATTGTAAAATTTATCGATTTTTGAATTCTATTGCTTTGTTGAACTGAGCAAAAAATCAGCAAAATATATAATTTAAAATCATCACATTCTGATTTTCACCAGAATGCATAGCAGATGAATGTTAACAAAAAGTCATTGGTAATTTGCACGTGATATATTTTCTAATTGACATAATTTAATGTTTTTTTGTTATAGTGAAGGCTGAAAGATAATTCATATTTTGCGGATAATAACAAAAAATATATAAAGAGGCAGCAAGCCAGAAACAAGAAGACTAAAACAAAAGAAACTCAAAATAGCATGAAATGTAGGAAAACTCCTCTCTGCTTTCCAGTTGATGGTTCAATAACACTTTAAGAACTGTATCTTTCAACACATTTATTGAACAGATGCATTGACAAAATCTTGCCGCAGAATAATAAATAAACAGAAGGGTCACTCGTTTCGGAGCCTTTGATGTTTTTGTCCTCACGCATGTTGTGCCGCGCATATCGGTCGCCCTTATACAGGCAAGATATTAAGGGTTTTCCACTTGTTCTCAACCACTAAAATGATCAAACGTCATTTCTTAAGTTGAAATATCTTAGATTTCAATACGAAGAAATGACGTTATGTTCTTGCAGTAGTTTGAAACAAATAAAAAACTTGCTGGATTAATGGCGGCCGCTAGGACGTGTTGCATTCTTGAGTGGTCCTTCTGTATAATTGTTATTCTGTTGTCTGGCCAACATATCTCTCTTTTTTTTCCTACTGCTACTTATTTTTTCCTTTGATAAGTGGGGAGGAGGTTAAATGTTTTTTAGAAAAAATTTAACAACCATTGATGAGGGTGATATCTGATAGTTTAGGGGGTGTCCCAGAAATGTCATCTATAGTTCTTATATTTGCATGATTAAGTTGATTTACTAGTTCTTGGTATTTGATTTGATAAAAGAAATTATCGTTTAACACCTTTATTTATACATGCCATACTCAGCATGATAAATGAATGTCGTATTTATTCATGCTTCTACGAGTTATTTATCTTAGTTAGAAGTAGGTTCTCGTGTACAAACGGCAAGGACCAATTTTAACTTTAAAATACTCTAACAAGCAATAATTGCCAGAATTTGTACATAGTGGTGCATGGAAAAATTTTATTTGGGCACGGCAAAACACTCGAAAGTCGAAAATGTTATTCTGTTAAATCCACAAAGAGATCATTGGTAATTGAAATAACTAGAAAGAAAAGTACATTCTTTTTGCTTTACATATTCTTTACCAGAACAATCTAAGTGAGTGAGTGAGAAAAAACAACGCAACATTAATGCTTGTGTACCGCACTAATTACAAGTGCGAAGTGCACGGTGTACCAAATATCAAGTTTCTTGTAATATCCGCCCAAACGAGGTATAATCAACGTCTATGATCCCCAATAAAGCATATAAACAAATGATGTCTTCAGCTGTTTTACGGTAAAGCAGAGAGCGGGTTATATGGTAAATCACGGCGAAATTGAAGATAAATAATCATATACAAAATGCCAACTTTACTTATGTCATTTTAACATATTCAGAGATATGATATCACTTCATGTGCACGCACATACAGACGGACAATTTTTCAGTATATAACATAGTGTTTAAAACTCTGTACCTTCTGAGAAATTAAATGCAATCACTTTTTTACAGTAGCTCTTTCCCATAAAATTAGTCAGAAAAATAGATGGTGTTGCAAAATAACATAAAATCGTTAATACGACATGTTGCACCTCGTTTACGTACTATAGAAACACGTAAACATACATTTCGACATTTCATGATATAAAACGCAATTTAATATTTTCGGATGCTAAATGTACCTGTCGAACATTAATATTTACTCTTGTTCTAGAGCAATATGACGCAAACGGTGCCCACTGTTCTGCATTTTTAGAAAAAGAGTCAAGTCTTTTTAAAACATCGCGAGAATCAAAATAATTTTTGCAAACTGAACAGCGATTATTTATTTTGTCACTCTTCTCGTTGAGTAATTTAAGTAGGGGCATTTTACTCCCGTTAGCATTCTCCACCCATTTCAAACAGTCAGGAGGTTCGTTTACTCGTCCAACTTTTATAATACGCGGTACGGCGTGATAAGAAAGTCTTGAATCTCCAGACATCACGATAACATCACCACTTTTCACGAAAAGAGCTGGAAAAAGAAAAAGAAAAAGAAGTTACAACGAGAATCAATGCTCCAGATTTATCTCAACAAATTTAATAAAACTACATGTGACATAAAATGGTGAGATTAAACATGAAATTAATTGTTAAAACTGTTAAACCACTTCTTTGAAAGACGTTTGATTGCAGCCTTTGCTGTCGAGTTTTTTTGTACATGACATTTGCTGCTTCTCGAGTGAGCGAGAAAATTTCTTAAAGCGGAACTGTGTTGAAAAATTAAATCGAGATACATCAAGAAAACACCCTAGGGCAAAGGCAAGGTGAACTTTTGAGCGTCTCAAAACATTCGAGGCAGCTTTAGAATTTATTTATTTATTTATTTAACGAGCATGAACGAACCATTATGAAAAAACGTGGTATGACTAAATCTGTGGGAGTCAAGGGAGCAAAAATTTTGGTAATGATCGTGAAAGTGACGCTCGACTACAGTGCCAATACGAGCATACGACTACGGCAAAATTGCTGATAATGGACGATGTTGTGGAATTGCTGCTAATGTTTTTTGTTATGAACTTATGAGTCACAAAAAAACACAGTGAAGTAGTCATAGTTAACACTCAATTAGCATGACTGATATTATATGTCATAATCAGTAAAACAGGAAAGATTTTCGATACTTATTACCATATGGATAAATGTGTCTTGAAATTTTTTAATGAAATCAAATTATTTACCAGAAAATGTAATTTATGCCAACGACCTGCGCACACACGTTGTTTAACAGTGAATTTTACGTAGTCTTCGTGGATAACAACAAGGACTTGTCAAGATGATCAATATTACTATTGTTATAAGAGAACACATATCTGCAGGGTCGCGTCAACTAAGAAGTTAGTATATAGCAATTTTTCGCGATTCTATGTTGTTAAAATCATAATTATGGAGAGTGGTGAAGCCAGCCCATTTTCATACTCAATACAAATTTTTCAGCAAAATTATTATTCATTTTTTAGAAAATTAATTCCATTCATTGCCTTTCCACTAATTAAATAAAAAAATATTTGCACTGTAGGAGTCAAAAACGGGCTGGTTTGACTGGTAATTATAGAAATGTTTTCTTATTTACGGATGATGACATGTAGTACATGTTGAAAAATGAGAAAAAGTACTTACAAAGTGTCAAATGTTTTCCATTTTAAGAAATCAGTCGAGAAATTAGTCGAAACACGTACCTGTTGGGCGAATGTCACATGTCTTACCGCCAATCAGATAGATTGCAGATTGACCGAAACTTATTGAGATTAATGGTTGTGACAGATCGTTTTCGTATCGGTCAACATGACCGCCCATGCTGGACCCGAGTGGATAATAGTTGACAACACCAGATTGTGGCTGGTAATCATGAAACCCCAAGGTTGCTGCAATATACGTTACAAGGCAAGCCAAGTCTTGAGGAAAACCAAAGTAAGCATCCGATTTGTATTCCTCTTTGTTGTAGTCAAATTGGTAACCAAGATGAGTCCACCTTAATTTATTAATGTCGTCAGGCCTCGTTGATTTCATACTAAAATAAAAAAAACATATATGGCTTTGGTTTTGAAATGTGAGTATCATATGACAAAGACTTCAGTGTGGTAAAAAACTTGAATACTGTCTTGAAGAGGGTATTGACAATGGCGGCTGCTTCGTAATTACTTCATGAAAAACGTTAAAAAGACTCATGGAAAAGGTTTTCAGAGTGGAGCCAATCAGACGAAAGCGCTATATTGCACGGATCTCATTCCTGATAATTATTCATTTTTAAAAATCAAAAATTTTAAAAGTACATACACAAAGTATTATGTAAATATTTTCTGAATAAGAGTTGAAGCACCAAGTAAAAACCTCAATAAAATGATTGAAAAAATCAGGAGAAACTTTCATTTTTCAACATTAATGCCAGGATTACCAATGTTCAAGCTTATACAAAAAATTAATGAGTATCTCAACATACTTTAAAAATAATTTCCACACATGAATACTAAGTGTTAAAATACACAACATACAGAGCTTTGTTTAAGGCTTCAACCGAAAAAAAATGTTACATGCAGCAATGACCCCCAAGAAACTTGACATGCTTCATCATATCTTTTAGTACTATGTGATAGGTCATCGTCCCAAAACCACACTTATGCAATTTTGAAAAATGTTCTACTTAGACCCAATACTTGAATCATGCAACTAGTTTAATTTCTCTACATTCCCATCTGGATACTTAACCTGTTGTAGCACACCAACTCTACTATTCTGTAGATATTGCAACAGCACAAATCCTAAGCTCTGTTATGCATTACTATTAAAAACTGACTGAATAGTCTGGATTACGTACAAGTTGATCGAGTAGGTATTATTTTTGATACAAATGCATTAAATTTTCTGAAATCATATTTTCCAAACTAAGAACAGTACATACTATTCTTAATTACTGATAACTAAGGGGTCAAATCGAAAGGATACATATTTCAATCCTACATTGAGTAACAAGGGCCTCAATCTATTAATTAATAGTGAAAATGAAATCGCTTTCAAAACAAATTAACCTACATAAATTACACAGATATTCGCCTCCCCCCCATAGACGCCGGTGGTTAAATACTTTATACCTGAATTTCTAATACAGCAAAGCCATTTCATGTAAAGCATAGACTTAACTTACCAATAGTCCCAAAATGATTCGTCATCTTGCAGCACAATATCTTTGTGAACTACTAAATTTGTTGCATTTGGTTTACGAGGAAAATCTTTCAACAAACGTTGCACCATATAATGTTGAAAGCCTTTCTTGAAAGGATTGATGATAAACATAAATCCAGGACAAGAAACTACTTCAAAAGCTTTCCAATTAGTCGGACTAACTAAGCCAAAACTGTGGCAATTCAATGGTTCATTTGGCATATTTGAAACATCCACTTCTACAGCACGTCCTGAAAAAGTCGAAGGATTTTCGAAGTCAATCACATCACCAAAGTCTGGAGCTTTACTGCGCCTTTTATAACGCTTATATTCCTCTCGAACAGCGTTAAGTGTGTTGCTAGAGAGAATTTCTCTACTTTTCTCCGCAGCCATATTTGTTGACTTCACATGCAAAAAATCTTCAAACGACATCCATCAAAAGGAGGCGCACTCGGAAATTTTTTCCGAAGATTTTGGAAATTTTCTGAGAGAAGAAATGATGTTTATTAACTTATTGATTATCGAAGAATCAATATAGACTATTGACTAATCTTTTCCGCGTGGCGACAGGGCAAGACAAATGGTAACTGGTGAGTAAATAAACTTGAAATAAAATATTTAAAAATAATGATGTTTCTGTGCAGTAAAATCAATATCTGTTATTAAGTTTACTTCACTTATGGTTTACTTCGGTAATGATTAATGAATTTTGAATTGATCAGCAGACCTGCCAATTCTCCCGGTTTCGCCGGGAGACTCCCGCTTTTGCTGCATTTTTCCCGACCTCCCGACAAAGATACTAAATCTCCCGGTTTTTTTAAAGCTTAGGCTTTTAGAAGTTTGTTGGCATTTTTATTCATCGCATGGAAAGAAATACTCGATGAATAGCATTCAAAACATAACGCGGTGCGCCGGGAAATGGGCATGACATTGATTTTCGTTTTTTCGTATGATTATTTAACACAAAATGGCTGCCAGTTAAAATTTTTGTGCATAACACTTGAGGTAATCATTGCCATTTGCCTAATAAATCTATCTAAAAATATGTCGTATACAAGAATAGAAATCTCCAGTTTTTTTGCCAGATCTCCAGGTTTTTCTGCATTAATCTCAAGGTTTTGTATTCCTTGGGGTTGGCAGGTCTGTTGATGTTCTTGAAAAGGATATTACTCATGCTAGAAAAACATGCTCACTCTGCCTTAAAGGGAGGATGTGAGAGATTTGATAACACTCCTCCTCCAAGCTTTAATGTTTGAAAGATGTTTAAAAAGTTGGTCCATCCAGAAACTGATGGACAGCAAAAATACACCTGCTGATTGTGTAATTTAGTATCTACTTAAGACATTACAAAATTCAGTCCCAGAACTTAGAAACCCCCCCAGGGTTGAATGCTCACCCCTGTTTTATGCTAGGCATTTGTACCCTTGCTATCCTTGGTTTTCCTTGAAGAGATGCATGAGGGGTATAAATTTTGCAACAAAGTAGTTATGTACACAATTAAGCAAAAGCAATTTTGACTGATTCAATGATTAATTCAATGATAAGCAAAAGCCGTTGTGTTTAATTCGATTATGATTAATCCAATCATAATGAAATGTAACAGAATATAACAAAAAAGGTTTGACATGATGCTGGGAACAAGTAGGAAATGAAATCTAATCCAAACTTGAGCATACCTCCACCCCCAGATTCTTACACCCCCAGATTCTTACACCCGATTCTGATTGACCATTTTTAAACATAAAAACTATGACCAGCCAACAATTTAAAGAAATATAGTATAAAGCAAACTCCAAAGAAGCAAGACATCTTGAGATTGCAAAATATGCATCAAAACAAGACGAGAAGTGAACTGTAAATTTTCGACTTCATTTCAAAGTCATCCTCAGACAGAAGTCATCCTCAGATAGGATGACTTTGAAATAAAGTCGAAAATTTACATTTCACTTCTCGTCTTGTTTTGATGCATATTTTGCAATCTCTAGATGTCTTGCTTCACCAGATCTTGAAAACTTTGAAAATTCATATGCAAAACATATGTGAACAGAATAATCTTTCTCCCTTTCAGATAACTAAGTGCAAGCAAATATTTGCGGCATTGAAAAAGTGGACAAAACAAGTTCAAATCCCAAAAAGCTTACAAAGTGAAATTGCTTTATACTGGTTCACACTGTCTTTTGTTGCAATTCAAAATCAAACCAAAAATAGAAATTTTCATTTTGACATCATGCTTGTATGAACCATGTTGATAGTGCTTTATGGGTTATGAGTTGTTGGTCTATGGACTTTGGTAGTGTTAGTTTTTCGTCCGAGCATTAACAACAGCTTTGATGGGTGCAGTAGAGTCTTTGATATCACAAGTTTAGTCAGTCTATGAAGATATTTTAACCATTTGTCAAAAAATCAAATGGTTATGAGAAGCGAGAAAGTATAGTTGATCCGGAAAATGTACTTTAGTTCTAATGGTGTGATGGTGGAAAGATGTTAGGCCCTGTCTACACGTATCCGGATAAATTTGAAAGCGCAAAACTTTTTTTACGGTATTAAAAACTTCCGCGTCCACACGTAATCGTTTTCGGATCGTTTTCGCCAGTCCACACGTATCCGGATAAATTTGACAACACTGATAAAATTCCATTTGAGTATGCGCTTCAGACAAGATGAGCCTGCAAATAACGTGTACGTATATGTGCTTTCTTGACACTTGACATTCTTCTGCGCATTGCTATTAAATACAATTCAAAAATTATGTCAAACGCATTAGAAAATTCGTCCAAATCCAAGAAGAGCAAAACCGAAAACTTTGTGTGGACGGACGATGAAGTGGAGCTCCTTTTAAACGTTGTTCTTGAGTACAAAACTGCAAGAACTGCGGAGAATGTTGACTGGGAGACATGCCAATCTAAATATTCTGATATTTTGAATTTACTCCTCGCTCAGTATCCATCTGAACATGATGCAGCCCAAATTGAAAAAGAGTTTCCCCACCAGAATAATGAAGTCAATAAGTCAATTATTACTTCAAAACTAAAAGCTATCAGACTCAAATTGCGCGCTGCTGTTGATTGTGGTAAGAAAAGTGTGCATGGAATAGTTGTGCTGATTTATTTCGAGAAATGTCAGGAAATATGGGGAGGCCCACCAGCTACGACTACAATGGCATCTGGAATAGAGACGCAAGAAATTCAACAAGAGTTTGACTCAAGTTTAATATGTCCCAGTCCCGCCAACTCTATTGGTACACCCATAGCTTCCTCAACATCCAGCAGCCCTCATACCGAAATACCTACTCTTGACGATGAAGAAAATGAACGAAACTGTGTTTCTGAACGAAGAGAATTTTTAAATTCTAAATTGAAGAATTATAGACAAAACAGATTAAAGAGAAAGTTATCAACAGACGAACAACTCCTGAATGCCATGCAAGAAGATCTTGAAATAAAAAAACGTCTTCTTGAAAAGATGGACGAAGTGGATAAGCAGCAGGCTACCCAAATGAAGAAATTCTCGCAAAATATGGAACAACTTACTGGGTGTATTGTGGAAGGTTTTTCTATGCTTTGCCAAGTAATGCTGCATCCTCAACCATCACCTCCCCAATTTGCAACTCCGCTTACTGGTTACAACAGCAACTGGGACAGACCACAGGCTGCACAACCCATGAATGTAAACAGTTGGAACAGACCACAGGCTGCACAACCCATGAATGTAGAAAATAGCACATTGCACTTTAGTCAGTTTACAAATGAAAATTTTTAATATAATATGCATTACTGAAATGAACATAGAGTGATATGTATATTTTATAAGGTTGTAGTTACTTAGTAACAAATATTGCATAGTGAGATGAAAATAGTTTGGGTTAAAATAAAAAATAGGTTTTGTTAAATCATTGTTCATTGAAGTTTTGGTTTGTCTATGGATCAAAGTACCTTGTCAATATCCTTCTGATTTTATTACCTTCAGCTTCATTACAGTCAGTTCTGAATTTATTGTTGGCAATAACTGGCTGAAATTGTTTGTCATACTCGACAGAAGCAGTGACCTTTTCTTCTGCAATTCTTTCACCACTAATTTCACAAAATTATGTAGTACAAAGCATGCATACACCACAAAGGTAGCTCATCAAGATTAATATCCATTGGACGCTTTAAAGCTGCAAAACGAGCTTTGAGTCTACCAAAAGCACATTCAATGACCATCCTTGATTGGCACAAAGTCATACCGAAATACTGTTCCTGCTGATTAGACCCACCATTTGAATACTCCTTCATCAAGTATGGCATTAATGGATATGCAGGGTCGCCTAATATAAAAATAGGAACTGGATCTTCATCAGTTAAAATCTTGCGTTGACATGGTGGTATCTTGCCATTCTTGAACAATTGGTTTAGGCTGGAATTTGAAAACACCCTTGCATCATGCACACTTCCAGGCCATTTCACAACCACATCCATAAAACAGTATTTATGGTCACATATAGCTTGCACATTCAAACTGTAAGTACCTTTTCGGTTAATATAGTCAGTAGGATTTTGTCGTGGCTGCTTTATTGGAATGTGTGTTCCATCAATTGCACCCAAGCACTGTGGAAAACCATGTGCTCTGTAAAAATTTTTCACTTTTTCTTGCACATTCTCTTCAGTAAATGGCAATGTTACATACTTAATACTTTGGTCCAAGGTGTATTGTTATTGCCTTGCATACCTTTCTCACAATTTTGGAAACGGTCTGTCGAGAAATTCCAAACGCATTTGCAGTCTTTCTCATACGACCTTCATCACTGAGATAATATAGTGTGATAGCAACTTGGGTCAACACATCAACAGGAGATCTCATGATAGTTTTTTCCCCTTGGATGTAGGGTCTTAATTCTTCGGCTAGTCTGTCAATGGAAACTCGAGACATTCTAAAATTTTCTCGCCATTCTTCTGGGACTACTAGTTCACGTATAAAACCGTTCCACCAAGCATTTGTTCTTCCAGGTCGAATTTCGTGTTTCCGCCATGTTTGACCAAATAATAGTTATACGTCATCGTTTCTGTATTTTTACGGTTTCACCCGTCCACACGAGACTAATTTTTTTCCGTTTTCCAAAAATTCCACTCTGGACAGCGTTTTCAAAAGTATACGGTTTGTGTGGGCGTTTTATCCGGATACGTGTGGACGGAACGTACATCCGTAAAAAAAGTTTTGCGTTTTCAAATTTATCCGGATACGTGTAGACAGGGCCTTAATTTTGAACGTGAAGTTCATGTACATTTTCAAAGATTGAATGAACACTAATTGGATTAAATATGTTTTAAACAATTTGATACATTACTTGATGGAATGTGGCAAGGATGTCAATTATAGTTAGGCAATGGATATCAAATTGTTTTTGCAAGATTAAGGAGAGTATCCACAATAAGTATTTACAAAAAATTTGTTGGCAATCATCATGAAAAGACGAGTGTTCAGCTCTTGAGTAAGGATCAACTCCATAAAGTTTTATGCTGTATCAGCATGACCACAGCCTACATTGTATTTCCCAAGCAAAGCAAAAAAGATTATAGAGAAAACATTTATTACAACAAGGAATAATTTATTACAACATTGATGACGATTTGATAACAAACCGTCATCATTTGACTGTCACTGTTTTTATGTTTTCCAATCAAGAACTTTTTGCAGTAGACTATGAAAATGGTCGGTAGCTATCCTTGAGATTCCAGAACGCACTGTGATGATTTTTATTCTTGGGAAGGAGTGTGACAAAAAATTTACATTTCAATTATTATGACAGCAGACAGCTGTATTCTATGCGACACTTCATCTGAAATTTGGTTGTATGCGTTGAGGCATTTGTTGGTTTATTTTCTCATTCACCGTCAAAATGCATAACATAAAGGATAATGATGCCAACTGAATTTGGGAAGCCTTGGGTCATGGCAGATAATAAGAATGAGTGTACATTTGATTTTCATTATATAGAAAGATAAAAAGCTTACAATTCTTATGGGTTGGGGTATGAATGATGTAGTAATGAAACAAGTCGTAGGCATGTTTTTATCGGGGCTACATTTTTTTGATAATTTTTATACCCCCCCTAGATTAGTGCATGGTCTCTTTTTGCATGGTTTCCCCTCTTTCAGGCACATGTCGTATAAATAACACTTCTTTAAAAGTTTAAAAAATAATTTTGAGTTTTAGAAATGCGATAGAAGCGCTTAGGTGGATTCGCGGCTCAAATGTCTTTAAATTCCAATCGTTTGATAATAAAGTTGTTTTAAACTTACGACCAATTGACAATGCTCATGGGAATACTTAATATTTTCTTTTATAAATCCAAACAAAAATTTTGAAAGAACTTTTGAAAGAACTTGCCACGCGTGATTAAACCCATGCCTTAAACCTGAACACACAGTCGCACGCGTGATTGAGCCATGTACGCTAGTAGTGCGTAACATGGCGGTGATTTTAGTTTGTTACAGACACTTACACTTTTATTTTGGCCTTTATTATAGCTACTAATATATGAATATTTACTCAGTACAAACTATATGGAGAAAGAGAACAAGCCAGTTAAAACACGCCAATATGATGCAGCGACCATCGTGGATAATTTATTCTGTGCATTTAGGTTGTGCATTGGTTCCGGTGATTGTTATTTGATAAGTCATAGAAACAGATTCCAGTGTGAATTCACTATATATTGCCTTGGCCTTTAAATTTTATGATGCTATGACAGGAAATATGATATGAAGTTAAATGTATCTATTGGCCAATCAGTAAAGCGACTGAAGCGACCAAAGTCAAAAGTTCAACATGTTGAACTTTCAAAGCGACTAGCTGACGCGACTAAGCTACTAGCTTAGTAACCACGCAAAGCGGTAGTTTTAGACGCGCGACTAAAGCGACTGCCTAGTGTGTTTCAGCCTTTATATTTGCATGTTCAAACAAATTATGAAAACCTCAAATATATGCAAGCGCATGTTGTTAGACCGAATGCAAAAAATCGATCCATGAAGTTTTGTATTGCAACCTATTTCTATCAACATTATTTAAACACAAAAAATTCAATTATTAAACTTTTCAAACGCATAGCATTCATTTACTGTACCTAAATACGCACAAGCGTTCTGGGTACAAAACCGAAAAGACATTTATTTAAACTTATATTGAAAATTATATATACCTAATTATTCGTCAAAACAAAATGCACCATTGTTAACACAAACAGAAGACATATAGATGATCATTTCGATTGATATAAAATCTGTTTTTTATAATACTACATAAAGCATTTCATCAATGACTATTAACATCATTAATTGCCCAATCTAATTCTACAAAGTATTCTCAATAACTTTTCCAGGTAAAAACCTATTCTTAAAATGAGGAATGCAACTAGTTAAGCGTACTTGTTATAAATTAAATATATTGTTAACAAGTCCGTTAAAAATGATGATAGTTAATATAGTTGATTATATTTAAGGAAATTCAAGCATTGCTAATAATGATGGGCTTATGTCTCCCATATTCGGCATAGTACCGTCGACATCTCTCACTGAGCAAGCGAAAGGACTACCAGGGATATGTTGATCAGCAAATTTGATGTGTATCTTGTATACTCCGGGATTTTTGGGTACAAAATTCACTTCGCACGTGCCATCCTCTTTTGACATGCAGTTTAATTGAGCCTTACTTGGACCTTCCATAAAGAATCCAAGACCGCCCTCTCCCGCATCCCGGGCATCAACCGTAAATTTGCTCATTTGTCCTGCAGTCCCGTGTTTATAGCCTAAAAGTTCAGGAGAATGATTAAAGTAAACAAAATGCTTTGGTTGCATGCAGCTAATTTCTCTCAACTTACCGTCGCCAATTACTTTCACTTTTGTAGAGTCCGGTGGGATGGGTTCTTCAGCAAGAACCGGGAAAGGACTTCCAGAGACTTCTTTTCCGTTCTTGTAAATATACGCAAAATGATCCCCAGCGACTAGTGGGACAAACGTCAAAGACACTGTATTATCTGCGGAAAGTTGCAACTTTAGACTATCCTTTGGACGATCATCACCTTTAAAAGTAATGTCAGAACATCTTTAGTAAGGGTTATCAGTTTGAACAAGTTAGAAGAAATTACTGCTACTCATTCTTGCAATAAGATTACAATTTTAAACACCTTAGAGGCAATTCCATAGGTAAAATTTAATTCTTTACAAATTCATAACCAGTTGTGTTTTTTTAAAGGTTTTGGATGTACCCCTGGTTATCCTCATTCTTGTGACAAAGTATCTCGAAATACTTTATGTTACGAATAAACATACCCTCCAATCTCCAATGTATCCAGGCTTTGACTAGCCTTTGGGCCATTATGTCATGGCACATAGGCGCGTAATGTGTGAAATGAGTCAGAGTTAACGAAAAAAGTCAATGAAGCTAATAACAGGTCAACAGGCAATAAAAAATATCTAAATTGAACTCAGTTAGCTTCAACTCTGAAACCTAAAAATTGTTCGAAAGTGTATTATGTCTAATTTGTTCTTCATTACTATAAAATTTTTTCAAAGTTTTATGCTACAGATTGCCGGAAAGTTTATTTTAAATCGGAGAAATGTATGTTAGAGACAGAATTCTAAATTTCATGGGGAAAGTTCCCAGGGTTTCCCCGACACTTAATGGGTAAGGGGGGGGGGGATCAAAATCTAAGCAAGAGCAAGCGTGCTCCAATACTTAGTAAAAAATACGCTATTTTGCACTTGCTTACCTGGCCGCTGCAGTTTTCCTGTTAGAAGTCCAAAATCGGACGGAAGGCTAATTCCCGACATTTGTAACACGAGAGTAAACGGCTTGCATGTGGGTGCAGTATTTGGACCGTCGTCCTCTTTAACCAGCGTAGAGCCATCACCTACGATTGTGCAAGTGAAGGGACTGCCAGGGATATGATGATCCGCAAATTTGATGTGTATCGTATACATTCCGGGAAGTTTGGGAACAAAATTCACCTCGCACGTGCCGTCCTCTTTTGATAAACAGCTCAATTGAGTCTTGCTAGGACCCTTTATAGAGAATCCAAGATCACTATTTCCGGCATCGCGAATATCAACAGTAAATTTGCTCATTTGACCAGCAGTCCCGCGTTTGTATCCTAAAATTTAAATTAATAAACAGACTAATGAACTACTACAGGACGTTAGAAGAAAATTTACATAAATACGGAATGGGAAGGAACTGAACTAATCTAATAGTTTTGGTGTCCTGCCATTAACTCGACTTACCGTCGCCAGATATTTTCACCTTCCGAGGGTCCGGTGGTATTGGCCCTTCAGCACGAACGGTGAAAGGACTCCCAGCCACCACCTCTCCGTTCTTGTAAATATGTGCCAAATGATCTCCAGCGACTAGTGGGACAAACGTCACTGAGACTACATTATCGGGTGAAATTTGCAACTCTAGACTATCCTTTGGACTATCATCACCTTAAAAATAAAGTTAGATCACCTGTAGAGCTGGTTGTCGTCATTCTTATGACGCAATGTTGCCTAATTTGTCATGTAGATTACGACCCTGCCCTATACCCCTCTGCGTTTTCACCAATATTTTTTCATTCGCTTACCAGGACGCTGGAGTTTTCCTGTAAGATACTTAAAGTCCCAAGGAAGATAGACTCCCACCAATTCTAACGCACAAGTCAGTGGGTTACTTTTAATGGGTGGGGTCTCCTCTCCCTTATCCGGCACAGAACTGACAACTTCTGCGACTGCGCAATCAAAGGGACTACCAGGGATGTGCTGATCCGCAAATATGATTTGTATGGTGTAAATTCCTGGAGTTTCGGGTACAAAACTAACATCGCACGTTCCATCCTCATTTGATAAACTGTTTAATTCCGCTTTGCTAGGACCATTAATGGAGAATCCAAGAACACCGTTTCCCGCATCGCTGGCATCAACAGTAAACTTACTCAATTGTCCCGCATGCCCACGTTTGTGGCCTAAAAATGCAATTTTTGAAAGACGAAGACAAGATCACAGAAAGTAGGAGTACAGTTACTTAACTTACGCAATTGTGTAGCAATAAAGATTGAACTACTAAAGAACATGTGTCAACCAAGATGCATTTCGCGCTTTTGTTTATATTCATATCTTTTTGAGCCCGCGGCAGACTGAATCCGGGGAACGTCTTGAAATTTAGCAATTTGCTTTCTTCCTCAAGTTAAAGAAACCTTTTCAAATTTTAATCAAAAGTTGTTAAAATTAATAAACGATGTTGCACAGTGATAATAAACGTCTGCCTTGACTACATAAGGAATAAATACTTCGAGAACTTTGACCGCGTCGATATATTAAAGAAGCCGCCCTTTTCTCGGCCAGCAAAAATGACCGTCACGCCGTAATTTGCACACAATGCATCTTGGTTGACAAACATTCTTTAAACACGTTATGGTCTACCATTGTTAAACACTACTCAACTTACCATCGCCAATTACTTTCACCTTTCTAGGGTCCGGTGACGGGGGTTTTTCTGCACGAATGGTAAAAGGACTCCCAGATATCTCCAGCCCGTTCTTGTAAATATATGCCAAATGGTCCCCAGCGACTAGTGGGACAAATGTCAAAGAAACTGTATTATCTGGAGAAAGTTTCAACTTCAGACTGTCTTTTGGACGCACCTCACCTTTAAAAATAATTTCAGAACATCTTTATTACGGGTTGTAAACATTCTCATGACAAAGTCTTGCCTGATATACTTAATAGGTTATTACAACCAGGCCTTACTACCTAAAACTCTTTTAAACACGAACACTTTTTTATTCACTTACCTGGTCGCTGTAGTTTTCCTGTAAGATATATAAAATCGGATGGGAGATTAAGCGCAGGCAATTCTAACGCCAGTGTAAACGGGTTACTTGCGACTGTCGTAACCAGGCTCTCGTCTCCCTTATCAGACATTTGTCCTTCAACTTCTGCGACTGCGCAAGTAAACGGACTACCCGGGATGTCCATCTCTGCGTATTTGACGTGTATTGTGTACGTTCCAGAAGATTTGGGGAGAAAATTGACCTCGCACGTGCCATCGTCTTTAGTGAAGCTGTTTAGTTCAGGCTTACTGGGACCTTTTATAGAGAAACCAATACTGCCATTTCCTGCATCGCGAGCATCAACAACAAACTTGCTTAATTGTCCCGAGGTCCCACGTTTGTGGCCTGTTAAAATACAATTTTTAGAAAAACTAAGCAACGATCAAAAAAAAGTTAAAGGAAAGTTGCACAAATAGGTAACGAGAAAGATTAAACTTATTAAATTATCCTGCGGTCCTGCGATTCCTCTCAACTTACCATCGCCAAATACTTTCACTTTGGAAGGATCCAGTGGTAAGGGTTCTTCTACCCGAACGGTGAAAGGACTCCCAGTGACTCCTTGTGCATTCTTGTAAATATACACCATATGATTACCAGCAACTTGTGGGACAAACGTCACTGACACTTTATTATCGTGTGAAAGTTTTAAATTCAGACTATCTCTCGGACGTTCATCACCTTTCAAAATAATTTCAGAGCATTTTTAATGTCGGGTTGTCAAGATTCGTACAACAAATTCCGCCAGATATGCTTCATATTAAGTATGACCCTTCCTTATAACCTTCAATACCTCACAAAAATACTTTATTTTGTTCTGTTGTTTACCTGGTCGCTGTAGCCTTCCTGTTAGATCTTCAAACTCCCGTGGGAGATTGACTCCCAACAATTCTAAACTGACAGTCAATGGATTAAATGTGACCTTAGAAGCTTGGCTCTGGTTATATCTTCCACCAACGTGATAGCGCGACATCCTGAAATTGAAAATGGAAATAATATATGGGAAATGAAATTGCGTCACATCCGGCGAACTACCGTTCCTTGATTAGTTCAAAAACAATTTTGCCACTCTGTTGCACGTAGCAGACAAAAGATTTGACAACGAAGAGAAAAACGAACAAAAAAATGTTCGAGTGCAAGTCGAAGAAAGAACACTGGGAAAGTGTGTTGCATTGAGCAGACGTGACAATTTCGAATGATTTATTTTTATCTGACGAAAACCAAAAAACGAAAGCGTCTGTAGGGAGGACAAGAAAAGAAATAAAGTTTCATTTCACGTGAAATAATGCGATATAATTAATTATTAATTAATTATTAACCTCATCCTACGGGTTACGGGCTCGGTCTGCAGACAAAAAACACCACGGTCTGATATGTCTTGGTAAAGACTTCGCGCTAGGTCAATAAAGCCTTGTTATTGTATCCCAGTCCTTTTCTTCTCCCAGGCTCGATTGCACTGTATATGGATTTCGGTTTATCTGTTTTTTTTTTGTTTTTCTATCCTTTTCTTGCATATATATTTGCGCTTGCATAAAGTTTGACGGGACCAAATAATTTTCCGTAACATCGAAAGCATTGTGCATTTTCGTTCTATGACAGATGTAATGAATTTCAACCTTTCCAAGATCACTTCTCACAGCTGAATGAATTGCACATACGTACAGTTAGGCTCAATTCAGACTGGGTGAGACTGCGGACTTTTCACATGCGTGAAACCTAAGGAATGGTTAGAGCATAATCATGTGTGTTTTATGGGATTTAGATAATTAGATAGAAACTCGCCAGGGGGAAGCCCGAGTGAGTTTTTATGTAATGTGAGGGACTCTAAATTCCATAGAACACAAGTGATCATGCTCTAACCATCTTATAACATGGCAAAAGACACAAGGGTGTTTATTTAACCGCATTAGTATTTTCTATTTAGATAATATAAATAGGAATTAAACAATAATAACACCATGTCCAATATAGTATTCTCTATATAGAGAATAATGGATTTAGAGAATACTAATAAACTATTGTTCTCCGTTGTTTTCACTCCATCTATGCATTTTATTTGAGCTTTATAGCAAACAGCACTTCATGAATTTTAGGCACTATGAGATATAGAACATCAAAATACAGGACGCTGATTGGCCGAGTGGCTTGGCCATATTCTAATTGTATTTTAAAGGTATTTAGAGCATTTAGGTTTGGCATATGACTGGAGCGGAGGGATGAACCAACGTCCCTCCAACGCCGGATAGTGCGACAAGCTCTGCCAAACATAATCATCTGTCGTTCCAAATTATTTCTGCCGTACGCAACTGATCCATACGTCGCTCTACTGCCGTACCTACTTAAATCGGCGCATGAAAAGTTAGCTGTCTGAAACGCGCCTTATTTCGTTTTCGTAACAAATTCTTCTTCTAAAATTTGACGTAATTCGCTTGACTGGAATCTTGGATTAACTAAATTATCCATAAAAGGTGTGCTTGCAAACGCTTGACATTTGTCTTCCTTCCATTTAAGGCATTAATGTAATAAGCAAACCTGCGATTAGAAATCCTCGGTAAACGCTTGGGATATTAATTTCACAGGTCACAGTGTCATCATGCAGGTTTTCGATTTCAAATAGAGCAATATAATGTCTAGACATCGGGAACCCGGAACATTGCATGAAAAACATACGAATACATTGCAAATCAATTCGAATCAGCTTGATTGTGACAAAGAAAAGCAAGTTTTTCCATAAAGGGTTTCAAATTAGTGAAATGAATATAAAATGAGGCGATTAAATTAAAGAGCGTTTACGTGTCTCAGTAGAAATCCATGTTCAGCAAATTATCTGACTCATCATTATATATTTTCTACTAGTTATTGTAGTTCTTGTTCATATGGACCTCAGTAAGCCAATTCCACGTAAAATGCATACAGAACTTAGCTTTAAATATAGCGCTTGTCGTGTCATATTTGGAAGGTTATAGGCATATATATTGAGTATCTTCGCCTCAAGTACAATTATGACAACAAATCGAGAACGGCGAAAAACATGGTCAATTAGTACTATTCTGTTGCCCTGATTTATTTCTATAACATCGTTGATTTATTGCTGTTTGTTATTTTAGTCTACAGACGCAAACACATTCATTTTTAGAAGACAGAGACCGTGTGCACTGCCGTGTTTACGTCTCAAGTTTCTGTGTTCAAATAGATATAAAATATGTATGGTGAATCAACAGTCTATATACACCATCTTCAAGCGTCTGCTCTTCATTTAACAACCTTATATAGCTATATGATTTGAGCATATTGTACATGTACGCATTATTAAACAAACTATAACACATTGCGACAAAAAGTTGTTAATGTCAGCGACAGATCTATTGTGGTATGTTAATTGTTACCTCAAAGACGTTCCACCAAATTATGCCTCTCAAAGTCGCAGGAAAAGGTCGAATATCTGCGCAATTTCAATAGCCGTTTAACTTTGTACTGAGTATTTGAGTAATTGTGCTTGTATTTGAAATGGAGCCCTATATCAAGACTTTGTTTCTGAACAACGGAACAGGTGTGGTCAGTCTTGACTTATATTGTCTGTGCGTTTGTCGTGTGAAGACATGAGAGCTCTAATTACCCGTTTCCAAGCACATTTTGATGGATGGAATGAAGTGTAATCAAGCATAAGATAAGTTGCATCTTTATACAACATTATACAAACATTACATTTATACAACATTATACAAACATTACATTCTTCGTAAATGTACGAAGAATACGATACCAATGACTTTCTGCTTTAAGCCAAGTTTTTGCAGTAGTTTTATTGCCGAAAATGGAAAATTGACCATGAAATATTTGAGTAGTTTTTTTTTCAGTAACCGAGTTCGGATCTGTTCGGATAATGATGAAAATTATAAGATAATTACCAAGGTAGAGAAACAATTCTCAGAGCAATTTATGATTTTTGATGACTTTGTCAGTGAAAATGAAGAACAGTTGCTTTATGAAGAAGCAAGACCAATTTTGGAGACGAAACATTATCAGAAGGAGCACTGGGACGATGTACGTACAAATTGTTTATCATTGTATTCTCTTTGTGAAGTAGAGCATGATGTCAAGAATTATGGGCCAAAATTTGTGTAATCGCCTAAAGCAAAGATTAGGTGATCGTACAAACTGAAGTTTGATAATTGTTAGCGTTTTGCTGAAAATTAATCTTATAATTTTAAGATTCTGTGTTTCCAGTCTTTGAAAATTCAAAGCCTTTTGCTGCTTTTAAGATTTAGTTCAATGTGCTTAATTTAGATATGTACTCGTACATTCACATCAATGACATTACACAATCTGGTCAGTTTTTCTGCCCAGCACATTTAGCTGACCCATATATTTGTGAAAAAAAATTAGTGTTTTATTTCACTAACAAGTTCCTCCCCTTTTTTACTGTCCTCTTTTTACCTCAGCAATTTTTTAACAAAATTTGAACCAACTTGACCCTTATAATACTCCTATCTTATTATGTGATGTATAATTTCCCATGTCTTAACATTATACTCATTGACATCTTGCTTTTTTCTTCTTGTTTGATAAATACATCAGCAATTTGACTTTTTATGTCATTCCATTAATACATTCTCTTACTTAAGCAATATTTACTTGCAGTCTCTTTTCTTCAACTGCTTTTGTTGAATGTCCTAATTTTTCATCCTTAAGTTCATCCAATATGTGTGTTAGTCATACACATTAAGCAACTATATCAATCTAGGATAATGTTTTTGCGCAATGTTGTTCTTCTTTCACCATTCACAAGAAATATATGTAATCATTCCTTCTTCAGATCATTCATTTTTGAGATTGGCATAAAATGTATAACAGTATGCCACTAATTTCCATTTCTGTTTAAGAAATATCTTATTTATGTAAGTAAACCATATTTTGCTTTATTTTTCATAATACTTTGTATAATGCTTGTGAAAGGCCTAGGAATGTGGCAGTATTCAGTTTAGTGGTGTAATATACTCAGTCCAGGATGAGTGGAGAAGTGTCTTTATTAGAGAAATGTCCTCTATATGTACACAAGCTTCCTTATTACTTATTCATTATACGATCGTGACTAAAACACCACACGAGTACATACGAGTACATACAAGTAACATACGAGTACATACGAGTACATACGAGTAACATACAAGTACATACGAGTAACATACAAGTACATACGAGTAACATACGAGTACATACGAGTGACATACGACTATTTTCTGGTCAACAAATGAGAAACAACACAATTTCTTCAATACATTGATATTTGCATTTATTTTTCCTTGTATTTGTGTGGACTTTGGGGCAACCATTTGATGGATTTAAATGCTGAAAAGGTATTTTACTTTCATACTACATTCATTTGTATGTTTTAGTTGAATTTGTTATAGATATTTTGTCAATGCGATTTGCCAGTATTTGAGCGCTTTTTGACACACTTCCTCCTAGGAAATACATATTTATGAAAGCGATTAAATAAACAACGTATAAATAATGCTTTCAAAACGTGCTATATGAAATAAATGTACATTATATATATTTGAATTAAATGAGAGTTGCACTGTGTTACGTATATATGTCATATTATGCGTACAATTTCAGCTTACTTTTAATGTTTTTAAAGTTCTAGCTGATATAATTCAGTCTTTTAACTGCAAAATCAGTATCTTAAAGACCAAAATGAATGTATAATTGCTTTCATAAATATGTATTTCCTAGGTGAAAGTATGTCAAAAAGCGCTCAAATACTGGCAAATCGCATCGACAAAATATCTATAACAAATTCAACTAAAACATACAAATGAATGTAGTATGAAAGTAAAATACCTTTTCAGCATTTAAATCCATCAAATGGTTGCCCCAAAGTCCACACAAATACAAGGAAAAATAAACGCAAATATCAATGTATTGAAGAAATTGTGTTGTTTCTCATTTGTTGACCAGAAATTAGTCGTATGTCACTCGTATGTACTCGTATGTTACTCGTATGTACTTGTATGTTACTCGTATGTACTCGTATGTTACTCGTATGTACTCGCATGTACTTCCTCCAACTTCTGAAAATGTTCTTCATCTGTTGATCCGGAAACCACAATGTTATCAAGTAGAATCCTGTGTATGGAATTCGCTTTAGTAAGCTTTCCATTGTTCTCTGAAAAATTCCAGGTGCCGATGACACACCATAAGGCAGACGATTGTAAAGGTACAATCCCCGATGGGTGTTTATTGTCACCAATTCTTTCGACTGGTCATCAAGTACCATCTGCTCATAAGCGTAGCTTAAATTAAGCTCAGTAAATGTTTTCCCTCCTGTTAGTTTGTTATGGACTTCTTCAATCTTAACTATTGAGTAAGCATCTAGATGGGAAATTTTGTTCACAGTGACTTTATAATCACCATGCAATCGAACACTTCCACCCGACTTCATTATTGGTACTACAGACGTTGCTCAATCGGAATATTGTACGTTTTTAATTAATCCTCGACATTCGTGCCATTCTAATTCTCTTTCAATTTTCATTTTCATTACGTATGGTACATAACGAGCTTTACAGAAAATCGGTTTCGTAAACGGTTTGACGTAAATCTTAGCTCGTACGCCCTTTAATTCACCGAAATCATCTATAAATGAATTGTCATACTTCTTTAAAAGATTCTCGTTCATTACCGAGAACGATGCTCCGGTATCAATTTTCCATGTTGACATTATGTCATTCGAGGTCAAATTTTCACGATAGGGCTTTTTGTCTTCGTCTTTGAAGTTAAATAAATTGTACGCAAGCTGCTTATCACTTTGATTTTGCTCCACTAGATTTATATTCACACTGGTCCGCCCTTCCTTTTTCCGAAAGTTTATAGTTTATAGTTTATAGTTTTTCGACACCATTTAGCTATGTGCCCGACTTTATCACATATATAACACTTTTCTTTTTTAAACCGACATTTAGCCTGGTCATGTCTTCCCCCGCAGCGGTAGCATTCTTTAGATTCGTCCTTGAGCCCAAACCTGTGTAATTTATTCATTGATCGATCTCATGGCATTTCTCTCATCAAATCTTGGACATCTTTTACGGCTGTTTCCATTCCATGTTAAATTTCTAATGCTCGTTTTAAATCCAAAATAGGTTCGGCTAATAACCTTCTCTGTATTCCGTCCTCGTTGACGCCACAGACTAACTGATCTCTCAACATTTCATCTAACGCACTGCCAAACTCACAATGTACTGATAATGCACGAAGTTCGGCCATAAATGTCGAGATTGTTTCATTATTTCCTCTGACACGCGTGTTAAATTTATTGCGTTCTACGATCATTGACGGTTTTGGAACATAATGATTCTTTATAGCTTCCCATAATTTCTCGTGCGACAGTTTGTTCGGAGTTAATAAACCTTTGCAGTAATTTTTAAGTCTTCGCTCAGATAACGCTAAGAAAAATCGAGCGTTTCTTATCTTTATCTTTGATATAATTATTCCGAAAATTGACCTCCGTTCCAATGTCTTCAGAACAAGAAGCATATCACAATAACAACTTTCCGTTTCGTAAACAATTTTTATTCTTACTCCCCAAAAGTATCTCGCTTCTCTCGCCATTCTCTTTTCGCTTCCGTTTTCTGCTCTCTCTACTTCCGTTCCACCCACGTTTTCTGTATTGTTCCTTATCGTTCCCGACGTACCCGAATGTACAATTGAAACCCAACACAACTTTAACATAATTTGCAACACCCTACCTCACATGTAACTACGAATGAGTCACATGTTTTATCACTTTGTCTCGAAGTTTATTTCATTCCTGTTCCATTAGCTCCTGATGTATTGCCTCCGCAACCACAGCAGCTTGTCATCTTGGTCTGAATTCTTTTACGTTCAATCGCAACTTCTTTTGATGGTTGCTGACATCACATTGTAATTCTAAAGGATAGATCAGTTGGATTGGCCTCTCAAGAGATATTTTTCCACACTGAAGTTTGACTCCTCTCACAACTCCATCTCTTCTACGGATCAACGTCGTTACCTTTCCGATCTTCCACATATCTCTGTTTTTCTCACCCTTAATCAAAACGATATCTCCCTCCTTCGGATGAGATTCGGTTGCTGATTTAACTTGATTGCGTTGACGTAGACTTGTTAAATATTCTCGCTGCCATCTGTTCTAGAATTGGGTTTTGATTTTGTACAAATACTTTGCTCGCTTCCGTAGCTCGCCGTTCTTAATGTGATGACTCTCCACTCCAGGGATGACATTCGTCTGTTGCAGTACGAACGAAGATGGCGGGGAGTTCAACATCATCCTCTACATAGCTCAACGGTCGAGTATTCATACAAATTTCTACGTCCAGAACAACTTCTGCCAGTTCATCGAATTTCAGAAGTCGTTTACCAACGACTTTGTAAAATGATCATTTGAACACACCGATCAATCTCTCAAACTGGCCTCCCACCAGGGTGCGCGGGACAGATTGAATCTCCATTTAATGCTATGTTTACTGAGCTCGCAATGAAAACTCTCGTCTTGCATTGCTTTCTTTAACCATGCCGCTGCAGCTTGGAACGTTTTTGCATTGTCCGAAAATAATCAGCGAAGGACGACCTCGCCTTGCTATGAGCCGTTTTAGACTTTGCAGGAAGAGAAGTTGTCTCAAGACTCTTCAACAATTCAAGATATACTCCTCGCGTCAAACTACCGGAAAAGAGCACTAAATAGGCTTTTCCTTCTTGATTTTTGTTGACTTTATACTTAATCGGACCGGCGAAATCGACACCAATGACTTTATACGGTGTGGTTCCTTCTGTTCGAGTCTTTGGTAAAGGAGCAGGTGTTGGAGCTTGATACGGTTTGGTCGTGAATCTCTTGCATCTGTAGCATCTCTTCCTTTGCTTTTTGACTAATCGACGAAGCCGAGGAACCCAATACCTTTCTCGGACCTTTGCCATCGTAAGTATAACTCCCCCCATGGAGTGTTTCCAAGTGTGCATCTTCCACTAACTTCACGGTGAATAGAGCGTCATCAGGCAAGTAAATA